CCAGCTTCTTTCGAAGGTTCTATCTAGACAAGATGCACTCCTACGCCCAAGCTAACGAGTTGGCTGATAAGGGCTTTCTGGGATACTAAGCAACAGGCTGAGGCGAAGAAGGTCGGTGTTTCTGCTACCACTCAAATCAACTCAGCGCTCTACTATTCAGGAAAAGGAGTATAATGATACCTGCAACAGGCTCAATGGCTTGTGGGATAAGGCTATCTCGGAGGCAACCGAGCAGAGGAGTTTTTCCAAGCTGTAACGTGGGCTTATGCGGGATGGCCTTTGCGGTTCTCATTGGAACATTTTCACTTTCCGATCTGATGTATCTCAGATGTGAAGCTTTGAAGGTTGATGAGGAGGAGCCTCTTCCACTACAGGGAGTACCCGATAAGGTCCAATGTAATATGCTTTTATTATCATGAAATAAATGAGGTTTATTTTGCAGGGAGGTTTGGTATGATTCCTTATGGAAATAATAATCCGGACACGCAGCTATTCCCAACCCCAGAAGAGGAACAGCCTGCTGGAGCATACCAGGTGAGTTTTTCCATCCTGCTCGACCTCACTGAACGCCACTCTCTATCAGTTTATGGATCCGTCGAGTTACGGTGATTACATCGAACGTATCGATAACAAACCCAACCCGATTCGAAAGGCAAGGCATTTATTCACTAGTGCTTACATGCCGCCAACGAAATAAAGTTTTGGTACTCGATGAGACGGATTATTGCTTTTATGGCTATCATCTGTAAGAGTTAGTAAATGTTTCCTCGCGTGAACCCGAGGTTGTTGTGTTATAGTTGAGACTGTATATTACTATTCATGTCGCTGATAGTCCCATCGAATCCGACCGGTTTTTCATGGTTGAACCATCGTTCTCTTTGAAACTGTCAATACTGATATGATACTTGTCGCTCAGAAGATGAGATACTCCTGTAGAGTATGGTGTTAGTACTGCTACAGTGCAGGATACTGTATGATATGAAGGAGCTTGATCGACATCGCTTTACGGAAAGGCAATGTACGGATGATGTTGCACTTGGATGGGTTTGTCATAGCACGGTTTTCGTGAAAAGAAATGATTTAAATCAATGGTACACGCGACACGAACCAGGTTAGCAGCATCCTCCTGTGCCGAGTATGTCTATGTATATAGCGCACGCCATTAAACGGCCGCTAGTGCTTGAACTAAGACGCCCTTCTCAATTCTAAGGGTTTCAGTTCAACTGTGCCTCCCGAAAATGAGAACACTATGATTGCGCATGAATGATATCAGCTAATCATTGGTCATTGAGAACGCAGTACTAGCACTTTTCAGGAAATGATTTCATATCTAATTTTCCTTGTTCCGTGCAACTGAGTCGCACCAATGACTCGCAGCGCTTAGAGCAAGAGTCTGTGGGATTATCGACAAGTACACCATGCCAATCTTGCGGAAGTACGTCCCGAAGGTCTCCTCGGTACCTGCTGGTAATGGGCGTATTGCTGATGGAAAACAATCACCTTTGCTGGTGACGCAGTGTTGCAATGTATGTTCGCTTTCCTCAACTGAGCTCGAGCGTTCCCTCAATTGCATACAAATTCGAGTAGAAGTGTACAGAAACCAACAAGAATTCCC